GGAGCGCCGCCGCGCTTCCCAAGCAGCGCACTATCCAGTGCGCCACCGGGCCGGCCCAAAGGGGATCTTAACCCTTGATGTGGTGTTGTCAGCACCATGCTCTCCCAAGTGAGCAACTGGCCATCCCTATATAGGGACCTGAGCCCATGGCCTTTGTGTAATCAGCACCACACTCTCCCAAGGGAAGAGGTGGGCCCTTAATTTCTTATTTCTGTGAGCCAGTTTTTGATATGTAGTTAAACAGCTTACTGACATTCCAGAAACTCCTATAATTTAGTATTGTTAGGACAAGTTGATTTTTTCTAAATAAACAAATATTGTTTGTCATTGTTCATTGTGGCATTATTTATAGTAGGAAAAGACTGGTCTCATTAGAATGTGGTACTTCCGTGAAGTGAAATATTACGCAGATGTTAAAAAAAAAATAATTGCAAAGCTCTTGTAGGGGAGACAAAATTTATCTTTGCCCTCTTAGGGCTTTTTGGCTAGGTCTGAGAATTAAATTGATATAAGACAGATCAACAGGAGAAAAGCATACAAATTTATTTAATATAAGTTTACATGACACAGGAGCCCTTATAATAAAGAAATGAAGACCCAAAGACTCAGTTATAGTTAAACACTTATATACTGAATTGGACAAAGAGTAGTAAGTTGTGAAAAAGTAACTAAAATATATGGGGACGCTAGAAGATAAGAGGAATTTTATTAAAGTCTATACAGAATTTTCTTGGCCTCAACTTCCCATCCTTGATGATAATGTTATTTTCCCACTTGCATAGGAAGGGCATTTTTCATGTGCGAAACATGTAACAACATGAAGGTCAGAGTGAACTTCTTGCACCTACTGTTTTTCAAGTGCCTTTAACACAAAATAGTCAATGTGCCAGAGTGGCATATTTTGAGGTGGCATATTCTTTTTTTTTTTTTGCTTTTAAATGGCATATTCTTAACTCCTTTTGTTCTTTATATAAACATGTGCCATGATCTCCAAAATATGTTATTAAGTACAAAAAGCAAGTGCAGAATAGTGTATATATACTCCATTTATGTAAAAAATAAAAGGAGGTTGTGAAAAGAGAATAAATACATATATATGCATGTATACACATAGGCTATCTTTGTAAAGACACCCAGGAGACTAGTAATATTGACAGGGGATAGGAGGCACTGTATACCCTTTTGTAGCTATTTAATTTTGGAACATGTAAATGTATTACCTATTTTTTAATGAAAACAAACGCAAATTGACACATGTATATAATCAATGGCTAGACCAGGTGTGGTTCCTTAGAAATAATGCTGATTCTCAAATTTGTTTTCAAAGAATTTTGTTGAAAATTTTGTTTTATTAACATTGTAATATTGATACTAGTCAAAACTTGGGTTGGCCAGTTAGCTCAGTTGCTTAGAGCATGGGATTGATAACACCAAGATCAAGCATTCAGATCCCGTATCCACCAGCAGCCAAAAAAAAAAAAGACAAAAACCAAAACTTATTTCAGTGTGATCTGATGTCTGTGGTGCATTTTCTCATCCTTATAGAAATAATTGTTTTATGGGATCTTAAAATTTGTCATGAAAATAAAGCAATTGAATCAGCAGATTAATGTTTGAAAATTAAATATTTGGCTATTTAGATTCTCCTAGTAAATATTTTATTTAAAAATAATGATTAGGAGGAGTATTAGAGAGTGGTTAAGAGCATGAACAGGTTTAAGTTCCAGTTCTGCCACTTACTAGCTTGCAATTTTGAGTAAGTAAGCCCAATTTCCCTAGCTTTTAAATGAAGATAGTAATACTACCTACTTCATAGTGTTTCTGTGAGGATTAAATAATTTTATCAGTTCACACATAGTTCCTACTATGTGCTAGACATTATTCAACACATTTTACATATATGAATTTATTTAATCCTCACAGCAATGCTGAATTCTAGGTAGGTATTATTATTATACCCTTTTTATATGAGGGTACTTCGAAAAGTTCATGGAAATATAGAATTAAAAGGTAATACAAATCTTTCCATGAACTTTTTGAAATACCCTTGTAGATGAGGAAACCGAGGCATAGAGGGATAAGAAATTTGTCCAAGTTCCCATAGGTAATAAGTGGTGGAGCTGAGGTTCAAACTGAGGCAGTCAGGTTCCAGACTCCATTCCCTTGACCACCATGTTGTGTCAAACACTTAGCTCACTGACCAGCACATTGTAAGCCTTAAACAAATTTTAATAATAAAGGTAATACAATAACAAATATTATTATATAAAGATGATATATTCATCATAGAAAATTAAGAAAATGCAGCTAAACTAAGTAAAGAAGACGATGTAGATACCAGCTTTAATCCAACCCCTCAGAAAATTAAATGTAGGTATTTATATATGCAGATTCATATACTTTGAAAAAATAAAAATGGTAACATTTTGTAACCAATTTACTCACATATTAATATAACATGAGCTTCTTTTTGCTCAGTTTGATTTTTGACCTCAAATTTGTTTTCAAAGAATTTTATTGAAAATTTTGTCTTATTAATGTTTTAATTTACAAAATGTTTTAATATACTACATTACTTGCCATCTTTCTCCAGAGTTGGCATCCTTTTTGGAAGTAGGCTAAGGAATTCTTTTGAGTCATTTTTAGGATTGAAAGGCATTTTATCAATGTAAGATGGAGCACGAGTTAGTAAGTAATTTAAATTCCTGCATGTATTTACAAAGAAATTTCTTATTAACATTGGCAACAGAGGGAACTCTGGCTCCTAGGATTTTCAGGAGAAAAGGTCAATCACTGGCCACAAATTAAAGTTTTATTTTTATTTTTATTTTTTGGTTTGCTTTTGCTTCCAACAGACTTTATGGCCAGTGCTGGATTTACTTTTGAAATAGCCAAAATTTATAGTGTTTTAATACAAAGCAGAATATAAGGATATAACTGTAAGGAGATACAAAGATACATAAGACTTGGCTCTTGTTAACTCTGAGGTCATAATAAAGTTAGCATATGTTGTGAAATTGATGATCTTAACTGCTATCATGTAATACAAAATGCTCTGAAAGTTTCGAAGGAAACCACAGATTCCCTTAATAAACTCAAACCCTGATCACCCAGTATTGGCAATAAAAGGAGAATATTCACATTCAGGAATGGAAGGCCTTATAACCTCAAGTGTGGTCCAGTGGTTTACATCTTCCCCTTAGGGATCTCTCTCTGATCATTCCTGCCACTCTTATACTGCACTTTGGCCCAAATCTGGACCCATCATCCTTTAGTTTATTCCCTAAAGCCTTGCCAAGCCCAGGTTCTGTTACTGAAACATGTCTTTTCTAAAAGCTTGGAGATTACAAAAAAGGAAATAAATAATTACCAACTACATAATCTGACTCACTAGATACAGCTTTGTTGTCTTGGTCTTGAAGGCCATTTCATCTTCACAGAACCTTGGAAGAGGAAAAGGAGCTCCCAGTTCTGTAGAGCTGCCTGCCTTCTCTACCAACACACACCCCAAGCTTGACTAGAAACCCAAGGCCAAAGAAGAAGAAGAAAGTGTTCCTTTTTTCTTTAAACTACAGCCCATCTTCCAATTTCCCATCTATTATTTCATGGCCTTTCTTTCCTGGAGAATTGTGGAGACCCCACCTTCTACCCACTGGAGTAGTTCTTTGTTCGGTAGCCCCAACCTGACAACCACATCAAAATACAATTAAGCCAAACATTTTTACGTAAAATAGAATCAATAGAATTTGCTTATAGACCTTAAAAATCATGAGCAAAAAGATTATTGACATTTTATTGATGTCTTTTAAAACTCCAGTTTCCAGGACTGGCCTGTTTGCTCAGTTGGATAGAGCACACAGCCTCATAACACCAAGATCACAGGTTCAGATCCCTGTACTGGCCAGCTGCCAAAAAAAAAACCAGAAAAGGAAACTCCAGTTTCCAGTTATATCTTCAACACAACCAGGGGATCTTTAAAGACCCAATAAAATATTCAGACTCAGAAGACTACCAGGGGCCATATTTGGCATCCATCTACTTAGAGGGATGCAGGTTAGGAAGTGCAGCACCAAGTATTTCTTTTCAGTGGAGTAGTGCTCACAGGAGTGCAGACAGCAAGTCCAGAGGCTTTCTGCCTCTTTTGGCTCATCTATCTCCCTGCCTAAGTCACAGCTCAGGTGCAAGGAAACAAATTCACACTGGGCAGATTAGGGAGCCATGTAGTTTAGAAGCCTCATGCATCACAGACACAAATATCTCTTGTAAAAGCTTTATTGGCATATCTTCTAGGGTCCCCCAAGGGACATAACAGTTTTGAGTCACCGCCCTCAGAGGAGCCCGAAGCTATAGCTTCCTGCCAGGTAGTTGGGTAATTTTTATCATCAGCAATGTTGCCTAATAACACTTTATCAGGTTTCCAGGCAACAGTGCTACAAAGTTAATCCAAGGCATGCACTTGTCTTTAGAGAAGCAGAGGGGTTTGTTAACCCTTTATCCACAACTTTTGAAAAATGTTTGTTTTTTATGAAGAAAAAAGGTTTATTTGGCTCACAATTCTCGGACAGCAGCATCTGGTGCAGGCTGCTTCTACTCATGATGGAAAATGGCAGGGCAGCCTGTGAGTACAAGACCACATTGAGAGAGTTCAAAAATATTTTTATAAAGATGATTATGCTCGGTTGGTTATAGCAAGGTGTTACGAAGATGACTGTGTTTTCAAGTTTGCCTGAAATAAATGGCTTTGAAATAGCTTCATATTCTTCTGGCCTATCTCCATTTTCATATATGATGCTTTTTAGCTTTTCTTCCTTTGACTGTTTCTGTTTTTTGGTAGGTCGAATCAAATATTCTGAACAGGTGTATGATGCGTGTATGGATACATTTGACTGTCTTCCTCTTGCTGCCCTCTTAAACCAGCAGTTTCTCTGTGTTCATGGAGGAATGTCACCTGAAATTACTTCTTTAGATGACATTAGGAAAGTAAGTAATTTTTTATTATTCTCATAGAATATATTTTTAATTTTTTTTTATTGCAGCCAACCAATATATCTTTAACTGAAAATTTAAAAAAAAATTTTTTTTTTTTGGTGGCTGGCTGGTACAGGGATCTGAACCTTTGACCTTGGTGTTATGACATTGTACTCTAACCAACTTAGCTAACCGGCCAGCTCTTTGGCCGAATTTTTCTTTTTTGGAAGCCTCTAGCCAAAATATTTAAATACAGATAATCAAAAGTAAGACAGTGGAAATTGCCTATGATCTCAGCATTGTAAAATAACTACTGTTAACATTTTGATGGGTATCTACCAGAAATTTTCTGTGATTTTTTACGAAATCTGTGCTTTTACCAACATTCTTAAAGTATAGCTTTGAAATCTTAAATTGTGTCACAATGTGGAAGGAAAGAAACCAAGGTTCTAATCCCAATCCTGCCATTAATTGTGTAACCTTGACCAAATCATTTAACCTGTTAGTCACGTTTTCTTCTCTGTGAAATGAGGAAGTTGGAATGGATGCCAGCTCTGAAATTCATTGACTTTGACATTTTAGATGGTATAGTTTAATTGCTGCACTTGCCTTATGGGGGTGATTATCATTTCCAAGATGCTGTATCTTCATGATTGAAAAAAGATGACCAGTCTTTTTTTACTTATATTGTTCTATTTGATAATCTTCTTTTCTTTTACTGAAAAGTTATTGAAACTAAAGATTTTTCTTTCATAAAGCTGTTTTCTCTGAATTAAAGTAAATGTCCTCAGTATAAGAGGATATGCCTTTTTTGCTGCTTTATTGGATTTTTATTTATTTATTTTTTTTTTTTTTTTTTTTTTTTTTTAAAAGATGACCGGTAAGGGGATCTTAACCCTTGACTTGGTGTTGTCAGCACCACGCTCACCCAGTGAGCTAACCGGCCATCTTTTTATTTATTTATTTATTTATTTATTTTTTTTTTTTTTTTTTTAAAAGATGACCGGTAAGGGGATCTTAACCCTTGACTTGGTGTTGTCAGCACCACGCTCACCCAGTGAGCTAACCGGCCATCTTTTTATTTATTTATTTATTTATTTATTTTTTTTTTTTTTTTTTTAAAAGATGACCGGTAAGGGGATCTTAACCCTTGACTTGGTGTTGTCAGCACCACGCTCACCCAGTGAGCTAACCGGCCATCTTTTTATTTATTTATTTATTTATTTATTTTTTTTTTTTTTTTTTTAAAAGATGACCGGTAAGGGGATCTTAACCCTTGACTTGGTGTTGTCAGCACCACGCTCACCCAGTGAGCTAACCGGCCATCCCTATATGGGATCCGAACCCGTGGCCTTGGTGTCATTAGCACCGCACTCTACCGAGTGAGCCACGGGCCGGCCCCTTGGATTTTTAAATAACTAGAATTTCTCTTTTATAAAGTAATCTTGAATTTTACAATTCCAGATCAATTGTAGAAATGAAAAGCTCCCCTTTCACTTAGTAGAAGTCCTTTTCTTGGCACTCAGCTATTCTAGTTGTTTTCTTTTGGTTTTTATAATTTTCACTAAAGCAGCAGTGACTAAGGGCTTAAGTTAATTACTTATATTGAAATGCTTCCACTGCATAAAATGGAAAGGATAAAAGCCCTTTACAAAATAAAACTAACATTCTTTAAAATAAAGAAATCTACATTGGAATGAGGTAAACAATAAATAGAACCATCATGAAACTTTCCTGATCTCATGGTAATATCGGCTCACCTAGACAATTGAAATTAACTTTACATAGTCGTTCTGAAATAGTATATCTCTATAGTGGTTGATGTAAGGTTGCTGAAGGAGATGCTAGCTAGGTAAAGGAAGAAAAGATTTTATTAGCAAGCAGCAAGCGGACCTGCTGGGCTAAGCCGAAAAATGACGTTAGCACTGAGAGGCAGTTGGGTGTCTTCTTTTATAGGGTTAAGATTGGCATCTGGCCTGGCCTAGGAAGACAGTCACAGTGTTTCTGCACACAGCCTGTTCATGGGAAAGGAGACTTGGGGAGACAGAAACCTTGGGCTTTCTGTCTGGAGGAAGTAGTAGTAGCCTAGTAGCCGGGAGGAAGTAGTTACAATGTTACACTCTGGGTGCAGCCTGCTCAACCTGCTCAACCTGCTCCTGGGAACAGAGACTTAGGGAGATAGAAATTTAGAGGAATGAAACTTAGAGAAATGAAACGGAAGGGTGGGGGCTTTCTAGAAGTCAGGTTTTCAGTTCCAGGGACCTAACAGTTGATTTCACATTTGAATTAAACGAATTCTGCTTTAAGATGAGGATGTAAGGGGGTCCTTTTCTACAGTGTGGTAAGATGACAGGGATATTTACAAAAATTTATTACAGAAAAATAATAAAAATTGTGCATCTAAATTTGTTAAATGTTCCTTTTCTTTCAGGAAATTCCTTCAGGGGTTTACTGCCTTCTTTCCTAATATATTCTTGTAGGTGGAAGGGGGTATTTGATTCATACCAATTTCTAAGAGCCATTTTGCTTTCCTGATTTTCCTTTTGACTTTTGTATGTCTTCTAGTTAGACAGGTTTACTGAACCTCCCGCCTTTGGGCCAGTGTGTGACTTGCTTTGGTCTGATCCCTCAGAGGATTATGGCAATGAAAAGACCTTAGAGCACTATACCCACAACACTGTCCGAGGATGCTCTTATTTTTACAGGTAAGCTAATCCTCAAAGTGAAAATTATGAAAGGAAACTGCAGTACATTTTATCAAAGTTTTTTTGTGTGTGTGGCTGGCTGATATGGGGATCCAAACCCTTGACCTTGGTGTTATCAGCACTGTGCTCTTAACCAACTGAGCTGTCTAGCCAGCCCTTATCAAATTATTTTTAAGCATTTTATATTTCTAACATGTGTAGTATAGGGACTTTTATTTAATTTTTCAATTAATAAAAAGCAGAAACCTCTTGTTTGCTTGATTGTTTTGTTTATTATATTGTGTTAGGTATTATTCCCTAGGAAGTGTAATTTATACTGGAGGAGAGGGTCTGGGGAGGTCTGATAGCTGGCCTCAACCCACCCTGTCCTCTTACTAGGTTCTTGACTCCCACAAGAAAGAATTCAAAAACAGAATCACAGTAGAAGGTGAGAACAGGTTTAATGTAACAAATAAGAGTTACAGACTTCACAGAGAAAGTGCAGCCTAGCTCCAGAGACTGAGCAGGGCCTACACCAAGTTTAATACAAAAGTAAGAAATATACATTCACAGACAAAGTTCAAGCTGGTTCTAGAGTGAACAGCAGCCTGCCAAAGGCAAGTTTGATGCCAAAAAGAAATACACACCTTAGGTGAAGTGCAGGCTGGATATAGGAGAGTGAGCAGCAGCCCCACCTTTTGCTGGGATTCAACTTCTATAGTTTTGCTGTCTAATACATATTCATGACATCTAATGAATATTCAGTTAAGGGGGGTGGTTCCCAGTTATGTAACCTAGTCTTGCACATGCTCAGTTGATCTCCTTTAGAACATGCTCATTGGTCCAACTCTACCACATGCACTGAATATATTCAAACATATTCTGTGCTGTCTAATGCCTCCAGTGGAAGGTCATTTAAAGGATACCTTTCACTTTACTGAGCATGCTCAGCCACTGATTTGCATAAATCTGCCCTCTATCTTCTCAATCTCCACATGCTGGTGCCAGAAATAGATGTTACAGTCTACCTGTAGCTTAGGACCCAGGGGTGGAGCTTGGGTCCTAAAGGAGTGGTTTGGGTCCCAGGGGAGTGGCCAGAAACCTGATCCCAGGGGAACCAAGCATCTCCTATCTGATAATAAACCAAATATGATTGGACATCTTGCAACACTTTGATATTGTTGTCTGACTCTGAGTGATCTAGATTATTTGTTCCTAAACATCATCTGCATACTTTTTTTTTTCCTGGTGGCTGGCTGGTACAAGGATTGAAATCCTTGACCTCGGTATTATCAGCCTTACACTCCCCCCATGTGAACTAACCAAGCAGCCCTATGTACTTTTTTAAGAATAAAGATTTCTGACTGGCCGATTAGCTCACTTGGTTAGGGAACAGTGTTATAACATCAAGATCAAGGGTTCAGATCCCTATACTGGGCCAGCCGCCAAAAAAATAAATAAATAAATAAAGATTTCTTGGCTCTTTCCCCAGAGATTCTGATTTAGTAGGTCTTAGGGGAATCCTGTTATGTTTTTAAAAGCTTTCCAGCTTTTGGAACAACTGGTGTGGACAAAGATATAAAAAGAACAGGACATTGTGAACTAAGCCCAGGACATTTCCTGGAAGTTGGCTGTTTTAAATCTTACATGTGAGCTTTTATTGTGGTTTGCCACTTAAAAATAGGAAGATATAGGAAAGTTTGAAATGTAAATTATTTTTAATCCCAATATTTTATTATGAGAAATAATACCTATATTTAGTCCCCTAAAAATTTCTGTTAATTGGGGGCCGGCCCGGTGGCGCACTGCTACAGTGCGCCGCTTGGGAAGTGCGGCGGCGCTCCCGCCGGGGGGGCAGCTCCCACACACACGCCCGGACGCCAC